GAAATTGGACATAACAATAAAAGATACGACTTGTTTAAGGATTAAGTAGAAAAAAGACGTTGTTTAAGCACAGGGAACGTTTATTGAAATGAGAAAATAGAAATCCAGTGATATCAATAATTAATATTTGATAAACAGTTTTATACTTCAGTAAACAATGTTTATCATAAAACAATCACATTCTTGTTTATTACCATAACATTTATATTATTATTAGCTTGAAGTAAGCGGCCTATTTATAATATTATAATTTACCGTGTACTGACTTTTATTATTCCTTGTTTGAAAGATTTACGCTTTTTCAAGTATTTGTCGTTGTAGATCTTCTAGAAATGATTTCAGATTCACGAAGCAAAGAAGATTTTCCATACTTTAACTTGCGCTATTATTTCACACAGTTCATAGCTATTTATCCTTAATATATGCTACAAATCTAGTTATTTATAATCAATTCATTTATCAAAAGATATTGTAAAAGTATTTGAAGATATAGTGTGTTATTTAAAAAAATTTAATATCTTTGTAGGTACCTAAGAACTTTACATAATAAGAAACTGATGTAATTTGTTATTTAACGTTATAAAAATAATTGCACAGACACGACAAGCTCCAAATGCACCAATACTTCCTCCAAGGGATGGTACGTCTCCGCCGCCATTGCCGCCGCGTAGAGACTTACCGCCGCCTCGGCTTCCTACCTTGAATCCAAGTAGTTCGGCACTACTCGCAAGACGGAATTCCACCTTGGAGAACACGTGTCCGAGCACTGTTCATACACGAAAACACATGTCTTTCAATGGACCCAGTCCTACGAAACTTCCACCTACGCAACCTAACGGTAAGAACGCTGGTAAAATTGACTTTAGACCGGACATGATCATTCCTATTGTATAACTGCATTTTCAATACTTATTTAATTCTAGGATCGGTAACGCCAAGATTACCACCAAAACCATTGCCGGGTCGTCCACCAACCACCATGTTCAATTTCAATGCTCCTCCTGGACCTAGTTAAGTGTTACATTTTCCTACCTCTTACCTAAATTAAAACACATCTTTTGGAAATCGAGATTTAGTCCACTCAGGAGGATTAATTGAGACGTACACGTCTCTAAAATAATAATTGATTCAACAATGTAAATTGATGCTGCTGTGTTATCTTTTTTTCTTCGCAGAGAAAAGCACTTGTTTCGGTACTAACTTGGTGTTGTAATGTATTTACTCGGGTCTTTTAGTCGGTATTTGAAACACATTTAATTTGAGGATACACTGAACTGGATGATTCCTTTAACGGCCCATATGTGATGAGATGCTGTTACATTCCTTTTGACAATTTGTCATTTAATACGCGTAACGCTATTTTTATTGAAAGTTTATTTTTCGAGAGGATATAGGACGTTTTAACGTATATAGTATATTTTTAGAGATTTTTTTACGAAATGAATGTATAATAGATGTAAGGCCTTATATCCCACGCAACTGAATATATAACTCGTTTGAAACTATTTATCCAGATGAATATCCAAAGAATAAGATTTGTACAGAATGCTTAAGGAACAGTGTATCAACATTTATTGTTGAAATCGAAAATATTTTTATAAATTAATGGGACGAACAGCGTTTAACAATTTTATGTATTTATTCTTTGTCGCTGTGTGATGCATAAGGATCCTTCTACGTTTTACGATTATGGTGAAAAGTAGAATTCGCTTAGTGAACTTTTCAACTCATGCCTAACGTAGTATCGCCAAAAATATTAAGTTGTAGTTGGTAATAATGTTACAACACTCTTTGCTACAACACTTTCTGAGATTATCCATATAACATTAGTACAAAAGCAATAATAATATTATTCACAAGAGCGTGTGTTATGATAAGCCAGATTGTAGCAGATTATCTTACTGCTAGATATATTGAAAAAAAAGAAAAAAGAACAAGAAGAAAATGAAAGAAATATGTATAAAGATCTTGCTTGTTTTTTCGAATCACGCATAATGGAGATTACTTTTTTATGATTTGTCTTTTTAATATAAAACGAGTATTCATTTTCTGGGGTAACATAGACAATTTTTATGGTAGGATAAAAAGTCGCTTTTATAGGCTAGGAATGTAGAATACATTTCATCGCAGCTGTTTGCCGAGTCACAAACATGAGATTTTTAGCGTCCACCACATTCGATGTGATCCGACTGAATGGACTATGTATCGATTTCAGTCGTCTGAACGGTCTCCTTTTCTTTAAAATCCCTGTCTATCCCTCAACACAACTGTGATACACTTTTAGATTTTAAAAGGAAGCAGATGACGCAAGAAAGTGCAGTATGGAATGAATCATAGGCCAATATACATATAGAAATATACATATAAATTGAATCAATAGCAAAGAAGTAAATATGTACATGTATATTATTATAAATATATTCTATAGTAATTATTGTAATAATGTCAAGCGTAAGACGGAAAATGAAATATTGAAATTATGTACAATAAAGAGTATATTGTGTAGATTTAGGAGAATTCTTTACCTCTACCATACGCATGTAGGTGTTCTCATTGCAGAACAAGAGATTTCAGTAATTTACAATTTATTTTTACTTAGTTATAAAAATACTTTCAGCAGCTTAACAGTACTAGTAGTTTCTCTTATGCTATGTTCTTTAACAACTATTTGTACAACCTAATACATATGTACAATACATTTACAAAATAATTGCCTACGAGTCTGACAAAATTCACACACTTGGTAAGACATAAAAAAGACAATTTAACGCTTTTAATGTTATATTCCACGCTCCTTAGTTATGATTAATAATTTTTATACATTTATCACATTCCGCAGGGTTGGGTCATTTTAATCTCTTATAGAGATTCA